CTTCTTCACCCTCATTCAACTCCTCAATGCTTGGACCATAGCTCTCAAGTTGATAAATGTGATACTGGGGGTTGTGTCATCGATATATCGACATGCTGCAAAGAAACAGTGATATATGTAAATTCTGCAAAGAAACATTCAGGTTTTTACCATCAATATATTCACATGCTAAAAAAAAAAATTGTACAGCCTTGTGGTTGTACCTCTGATATATCTACATGCTGCGGGCCCAAATACAGTATTGGTGGTTGTACCATTGATGTATACATATGCTCAACGAAAAAAACACATGAAATAGATACACAAGGCCATCCATCCCGCTACCAGACAGCTGGAAAAGCAGCCTATATAGTACCAATAGTTAAAAATATATTAAAGTAGATATTGACATGAATACTCAATAAGTGGCGAAGATATGAGAAAATCAAATGATAAGCCAATGAAAAAGTGTAGATTTTTCTATGGAGCACTGAGATGGTTTGGCATAGCTAAGAACACTCCCAGAATGACAAGGAAGTGCTGAAGGAGCTGATGAAGTAAAAGATAAGAAGAGGAATCAAGAAAAGAGAGCCCTTCAAGGAGGCTCTTTGATGACAACAAAGGCCTCTTGATTTGGATAATTTGAGCTATCCTTTTTTTCCTTAGATTGAATCTGATTACCTCCCATTCCCCAGTCATTATAAGGACCAGAGGGTGGGGGATAGGTGGGTGTTAATTTTTTATTTATTTTATTATCACACGGGCCGACTCCCACCAAGGCAGGGTGGCCCGAAAAAGAAAAACTTTTCACCACCCAATTCACTCCATCACTGTCTTCCCAAAGAAGGGTGCTTTACAGTACAGTTTTTAAACTGCAACATTAACACCCCTCCTTCAGAGTGCAGGCACTGTACTTCCCATCTCCAGGACTCAAGTCCGGCCTGCCGCTTTCCCTGAACCCCTTCATAAATGTTACTTTGCTCACACTCCAACAGCACGTCAAGTATTAAAAACCATTTGTCTCCATTCACTCCTATCAAACCGCTCACGCATGCCTGCTGGAAGTCCAAGCCCCTCGCACACAAAACCTCCTTTACCCCATCCCTCCAAACCTTTCCTAGGCGACCCCTACCCCCCGCCTTCCTTCCACTACAGAATGATACACTCTTGAAGTCACTGTTTCGCTCCATTCTCTTACATGTCCCGAACCACCTCACAACCCTTCCTCAGCCCTCTGGACAACAGTTTTGGTAATCCCGCACCTCCTCCTAACTTCCAAACTATGAATTTTCTGCATTATATTCACCCCCACATTGCCCCAGACATGACATCTCCACTGCCCCCAGGCTTCTTCGCTGCAACATTCATCACCTATGCTTCACACCCATATAAGAGCGTTGGTAAAACCATACTCTCATACATTCCCTCTTTGCCTCCAAAGACAAAGTCTTTTGTCTCCACAGACTCCTAAGGCCCACTCACCCTTTTCCCCTCATCCCAAATTCTATGATTCAAACCCCATTTTCATAGACCCATCTGCTGACACGTCCACTCCCAAATATCTGAATACATTCACCTCCTCCATCTCTCTCCCTCCAATCTGATATCCAATCTTTCATCACCTAATCTTTTTGTTATCCTCATTACCTTACTCTTTCCTGTATTCACTTTTAAATTTTTTCTTTTGCACACCCTACCAAATTCACCACCAAACCCTCTGCACTTCTCTTCAAAACTCCCAAGAGCACAGTGTCATCACAAAGAGAAACTGTGACAACTCCCCCACTTTAGTGTGATTTTTACTTTAACTCCACGCCTCTTCCAAAGACCCTCGCATTTACTTCTCTTACACCCCACATAAATATATTAAACAACCACGGGACATCACCACCCCTTCTAAGGCCTATTTTTACGGGGAAATAATTTCCCTTTCCAAATACTCTAATTTGAGCCCACTATCCTTGTAAAAACCTTCACTGTTTTGAAACCTACCTCTCACCATACACCGAAACATCTGCCACATTGCCCCCCCTTTCCACCCGTCATACGCCTTTTCCAAATCCATAAATGCCACAAAAACCTCTTTGCCTTACTAAATACTGTTCCCCTTATTTTTCACTGAAAACCCGGGTTCCCACACCCCCTACCTTTCCTAAAACCCCCTTTTTCATTGCATCCTCTTCCCCGTTTTAATCTTATTTTTAAATAAAAACTCTACCAAAACACTTTAAAAATTACCAACAGATTACCCCCTATAATTTTTGCACTCTCTTTTGCCCCCTTTTGCCTTTAAAAAGGGAAAACTATCAGCCCCTCCCCAATCCCTGGTACCTTACCCTTTCCATACATTTTTTAAATAATTGCCCAACCACTCAAAACTTTATCCCCCCCGCTTTTAACATTTTTTTCTTTTCCCATCAACCCGGCCTCCCCTTCCCCCCTTTTTTTTACCTACTGCCCAGAACTTCCCCCACACTCAAACGGGGCTTTCCTCCTCCTACAAGTGTTATTCCCCCTTGCCCTTACAAAAACACGGGTTCCCTATTTTCATAACTTTTAGCAATTCCTCAAAATATTCCCTCCTCTTCCAATACCTCTAACTCTCTTTTAAAACTCTCCCCCCTCCATTTTTTTAAATGAAAAATCCATTTGATCTCTGGGTTCCTTAAATTGTTAATTTTTCACTCCAAAATTTTTCTTATTTTCAAAAATTTGTTTATAACGTCTCACCCACTTTCTTGCTCTCTTTTTACATTGCTTCAACCGCCTCTTTAAACCCCTCTTTTTTCCCATACACTCTTCCCTCCTTGCATCACTTCTACGGTTAAAAAAATTTCTTGCAACTTTTTCTCCCTTACTACTCTCTTTAATCATATTCCCCCAATTTGCCCCCCTCTTCCCTCCCCCCACTTTCCTGTAACCCCAAACCCCTGCTGAACACTCTAACATTACATTTTTAAACCTACCCCATACCCCTTGACCCCATTGCCTATGGGTTCTTACCCATTACCTCCAAAAGTGTTATATCTACCCCAACTCCTCCTCTTTTAGTTATAAACTTTCCCGCTCTCTTCCCTGAGCTTCTATTCTCCCTTTTATCCCATCTCCTTTTACTCCAGTG